TGGTCAGTTGCATAATGAGGCGTCTGTAGGCTGACAGTTGATCCCCTGCCAGTCGATCTGCCCTTCCTGTCGTGACTTCAGCTGGCTGGATCTTCTCCACATACTCAGCCATGTTGTCCTTGAAGCACTGGCCTTCCTTGGTGGTGCTGACGCCCAAGAAGGTGATTGGTTTGTCACCCATGTTTCGCCTTTGACTTTTGCTTTACAAGAGCAAGAGTCTCAGAAACGAAGTCAGCAACAGCAGTATGTTGGCTAGTTGCAATTGTGGACTCTTTCATGTTGCGCTAAAGGAGCAAAGGCCAATTTTGCCTAATCGTGCAAGAATTGATGAAATTCAGTCAATTGTTGGGGTATTCAGACCGGAGGGGTTACCAGCAGTCCGAAATGAACCTCCAGTTCGCCGTTCGCCCCTTTGGACTCTTGATGTTGTGCAAATCGGCCTACGGTCTTTCAGAAGCACCAAGACTTTGATATTTGAGGGCCCAAGAGCTTTTGGAGGAGCTGGGATACATTGAACTGGATCTCTGCAGAGCAACCTTCATCAAGAAGGCTGGCAGTGAGGTGATCGCAATCTTGTGCCTTCACGTTGATGACGGTCTTTTTGTCACTTCCCCAGAGAGGATGTCAGCTGCCCAGAAAGAGATCAGCTCAAAGTTCAACATCGAAGAAAGGCTCAACCTCATCCATTCTTCTACATCCTCGACTTGCACTTCATAGATGCCAGTTGGCAACTCCACCAGCACCTTTCCTTCCTTTGGCTTCTTCTTTTGTTCCCTGACGAAGAAGGTGACTCCTCACCAGGTATGTGGTGCTCTTCTTTTTGGGCCTTGTCCTCACTTCCTCTTCATTCTCTTGACAGACCAATGCCGTTCCACTCTTTTCTCCAAACATCAAGGTGATGCGTCCTCTCTCGGTCTTGGTGGGCTTCTGAAAGCGCTTCCTGGGCGCGATGTGATATCGCATACTTGTGATGGGCAAATCCAAAAGATCGGCCATCTTCTTGACTTCTTGCTTCGATGCCCATTCATTTGACCCTGTCTTTTCCACCACCAGGCTGAGCATGGCATAGTGCATCATCTCTGGTGTGAATCTTTGGTGGAGCTCGGCTTCTGTCAGTCCGCTCTTCACTTCATCCATCCTTCTTTGCTTCAAGCTGAATGGAACATCATCTTGAAGGTGCTCCCTCAGCCTTTTCTTGAATCCTTCGCCATCATCAGGGCCCAAAATTTTCGTCACTGCTTCTTTGAGGTGCTGCTCGATCTCCCTCATCTTCTCTGACTTCTCTTCCTTTCCTTTTTCCATCTCATCTTCCTCTTCTATCGGCATGGTCTCTTCAGGCTTCTTCTTGTCTTCCTTCTTTTCCTTTCTTATCTCCAACTGCACTCTTCCTTTATTCTTGATCGTCTTCTGAACCTTCCGTAGGCCCTTCAAGCTTTTGGCAATCTCTTTTGCTCTTGCCTTGCTCCATCCTCCTGTCTTCTGGACAATGACTTCTTCTTGCGGCTGCCAGCCGATTTCTTCTTCCTTCTTGCCTTCGTCTGGAGGTGGAGGCACGTGCGTCATATCTTCAAATTCTTTGTTGTCGGGCCACTTGTCTTGGTGGTTGTCCAATGCTTCCATGCGACCTTGAAAATCACCTCCTTCAATTTCTGAACATAACAGGCATCAGCCCCGCCAACTGATATAGTATCTCTCTGAATTTTCTTTCATCAGCACCACAGCTGGTCCCCTCCATGCTCCAGCTTCTCTTCGAAAGCGTTTGGCTGCGGGCTGAGGGACATAGAAAAAGACCATCTCACCTGGTGTGAAGTCTTTCATAGATCCTCTGGGCCATCTTCGAAGTGCCCTCTTCAGCTTGTCTTGGCAGTCCTGCCTCATCAGTGAAATCTTTGCGGCTGCTCTCATCTCCGCACTTCTCATGACTTCCCCTTCGGTGCTCAACGACTCCCGTAGAGCCAAGTTGCCAGTGGTGTCCTCCTCCAAGAGATCAGGAAACAAGGGCGCTCTTCCAAAGACCATCTGATAAGGAGTGAATCCTCCCCTGGTGATGGTCTGGTTCTTGGCTTGGATGGCACACGCTAGAGCCTCCTTCATTCCTGTGCGTCCTTTGGCCTTGAATTGCCAGATGATGGCGTGCCAGGCATGTCCAAGGAGACCACCAATGTTGCCACCCTGCTCGAGCCCCACTTGGAATGAATGCCATGCATTTCCAGCCAACCAACAAAAGCTCCATCAAATTCTCCTCCTTGGTCGATGTAGACGGTGGCTGGTGTGCCATACATGGAGCACCAATGTCGCAGAAACTTCCTGGCCACATAGTTTGCCTTCCGGTTCCTCAGGAGACAAGCTACATGAAAAGAGGTGCCGCCATCCACCAAGCTCAAAGCAACGTGTAGCTTGTTTGCGGCATCGTGCATGTACTTGAGGTCCAAGTGCACTTCCTTGGCAAAAACGGAAGTCCGAGTGACTGGATTGATCTTCGGATATCTTGAGGGTGCACTCGCCTGGGCGCAAATGGGACAGTCATATCGTCCTGCCAACTCAATCATCTCTTTTGGAGCTCCTGCCAGAGTCAACATCCGCACCAGTGTGGCCTTGCTAGGATGCCCCAGACGTTGATGGATCTTGGCCACTTTCCATCCTCTTGCTCCTCTCTTCATCTCTTCTTCTTCAATTTCTTCATGAGGTTCTTCCTGTTCCTCACGCTCTTCTTCTTCCATCATCGGCTCCTCTGGCATTTCTCCTCCTTCTACCATCACTTCTCTTTGTTTTCTTTTCTTCCTTAGGAACTGTTCTGCTCCCAAGACCACCTCCTTGGCGAAGTGAGTGGTGTATCCTCCGGCATACTCGGAAAGTGATCTTGACACCTCCAACAACTGGTGTGTGTTCATGACTCTTGTCACACAGCTTCTCACACCGTTTGGTGATTTCTTCTGTGCCTTGGAGCCTTGTTCTCTTCCGAAGATGTGGTCCATCTGGCACACGGAGGCCGAACATACACATGTCACAAACTGCCATGGAGGTGCCACTGAAAGCTTCTTCAATGAGGGGTTCTTTCCAGGCTAGTGATGGTCTTGGATTCTCACCCAAAAGTGCACCTCCTCTTTTCCTTTGTGCCAGGCTTGCATCTCTCACGAACCTCAACAACACCCTGTTCTCCTCACGCTTCTGCACCAGCTTGGCTCTCTGAAAGGTGTTTTCTGGCCAAGCCTTTGGAAAGGGCTCCATGGCCGACAGGGCCACGCCAAAACGAGCAAGCCAGGATCTACTCGGTCGATGTATGCCAAACCCTGGTGCATAAATGGAAGGAGGATTCCATGGTGCTGTCATCCCTCCGCCGTGCTCTGCTGGACCTGGTGTGGGTGCTGTCCATGGAGGTGGTGCCATACTACATGGAACACTGCTAGATGTCGGGAAGGTTGCATCGACAGCCATAGGTGCTGTCTGAGGACTCCCTCCCTTGCCACCCTTCTCCTTCCCACCTTTCAACAGTAGGCACAGAACCCTTTTCTGTGCCTTTGCCAGGCTCCGATCCAGTTGCCCCAAGGGTCTTGTCCTTGTTGCCATGGATCTTCTGGTGGTAGAGGAACGGCTGCACCATCCAGCTCTGCACCATCAGCTGCCGCAGGCAGCTCAGGCGGCAAGGCATCAGCCGTCGTGACTCCATGGGCCGGCTCGGCCATGGCTCTCGCAAGAGGGCGAGGTGAAGGTTGTATCCCCCAAACCTACTGCCCCTCAGGGCTCCGCTACCAATGTGGATCTGATGGGGCGCCACTCCCAAAAACAGTCTTAGGGGTGCAACCACAAAAGAACCAAGGCGCAATGCAAATGAAAGTGTACGCAGACACAGCGGAAAAGCAAAAGCGAAACGGGCTGTTTTCAAGCTGGCCAACATCGATGTTCTGTATGTAAATGCGGCGGCGTCCACAAACAACATTCAAGCAGCAAGGAAAGCGTCCAACGTCAACCATCATAGATTCTTCACAGATAGCTCCGCCTTGTCCGGGCTTTGTCCGGGCTTGTCTGTCCAGCTTGTCCGCGTTGTCGGCCCTTTTGTCACCTCCTTGTCCGAGCCTTGTCCCCTGCTTGCCACGCCGTTTTCCCTTTCTCCACGGCCTTGCTTGTGGATATGTTTTCGTGTTGCCATGAATGTAACAGTGATAGAGCGTTTCGAACTTGATATCATCCTCGGATTTTCTCATGATGCACATGCCCTCGTTTTTTCCACATGTGGCTCGGGAATCAGGATTGATTGTTTTCAAACGTTCAAACAAATTTGTGTTTACAGTTCGTGCCCAAGCAGCTAGAGGCTGTATATTTACCGACGTCACCACCTACATTGGCATTCAAGGAGTTGACGCAAAAAGTGCTGAAACTGTTTGGAGTCTATGCTGGCATAATTTTTGTTTCGTATATGTAAACACACAGAATTCTCCAGCGGTTCCAGCTTCAGAGACAAATATGTTTTGGTGGGGGATGAGCGCAGAAAACCACTATTAACTCAAGGGGCTCAACAAATATTGTTGTTTGGACACAACATGTTTCAAAACAAAATTCTGGACACATGTTCAATCTTTGGTATGGGCCTTCATCCTGATCGAGCCAATCGGATCCAACATTCCCAAATGAGGACAATGGCATGCAAAGTTTGATGACCTCGAATGAAAGGGGTGCAAAGACGAATCGTTGTCATTACGCGTGTTTCTGGGAATAGTGTTTACATTCGAGGACTTGGCCCCGAGGTCGTTATGGTGCAACCATTGAAATAGACTGAAAGATATAGATGTTAATACCATTGCACTGACGGTATCCTCACACTCTCAAAAATCTGCGAAACGCGAAACGTGAGGGAAAGGGCTCACAAGTGACGTATTCAAAAGGATTCCGCATGGTATATAGCTGACCTGTGAAACCAATTTCGTAAGTAAGATCTCGGTGGAGGCTCCAGGGGCAATCCCGTGGGCACGATCCCGCACCATCTCCCATTTCCTTGCCTACAGGCGCTATGGCAGACCAAGATGGTCAGGAGTTGGCCCTACGCATGATCCAGGCTGCAAAAGAAATCAGTGTGGCTGCCAGAGTTGCTGCAGATGCTTTGATGAAGAGAGGGTTTTGCCAAAGCGCGCGTAATCTAGAGGAGCTAGGCATGTGGAGGGGGTTGGGGCTTGAGCAATATCTGGAATCTCTGGAATCGAACTTCGCAGATCACTTCAGGGAACATGCAGTGGAATCCAGAGCACTAAATCGACCACAGAAATGGAGAAGTGTACAAACCAAACCCCAGACAGCTTTTCTGGTCCAAAAAGAAACCGTAAAGTCAAAGGTTGCTTCCTTGCCAAAGCAGGTGACATCAAAGTTATACCAACTAACCAGTCTCGGGTTACGCCATATGTGTTCACAGTGCCTATCGTCGACAAGCGTTTTACGGCTCCAATGACTTAGTGAAAAAGAATTGCAAACATCCGGAATTGCGGCATCAACATCCATGACCTACTATTCATTTGCCTTTCTCAACTCTCAACGTGGACAGTTGGTCTGGTCTGTTGGGTTTGACACTTTTCGTGCAATGGGTGGAAAGGGGCTTCGTGGCGGCAAAGGCTTGGCTGTTGTTGAAACATGGGCGCGCCAGGCCTTGATTTTGCAGATTTTTGCACATCCAGGTGGAAAGGGGTTGGTGAGACCATCAATCAATAAACCCAGGACCGTCGATTGCACATACTTTGACAAAATATGCTGTCAGCAAATAGGTTTTTGTATGCTTTGGTAAACCAATGACATTGCCCCATACAAGCGCATATTACCATGCACGTTGTTTCTCAAGTTGCCTTGGTTGCGCTGTACTACTACACTCGACTATGCTATACATCCTTTGGCGCTTTTTGGTCTTCAAGCATAAGCAAAGCATGCACAGATTCTTCCCAAGGAGTTGGCCGGGAGAATCCAAGGGCTTTGGCAAGAGCACCAGCTCAACAGGCTCCGAAGTGGACAACGAACGGAGCAAGTTGCAAACCTTTCAAGAATAATTTAGAAGAAACGCAAGGTTTTCCTGCTTCACCTCACACCTTGCTTGTCCAACTTGACAGGTCAATCGGAGAGGCACGCCTGGAAGTTCATGCGCTGGTTCAACTTTCGAACCTTGCGGTGTCTACTCCAGGTCCATTGCCTTTTTGTTGGCTTGCCTGGAACCCCAAACAACCAGAAAGGATTCGATGTTTCCCCAAACAGCCATTTCCCACGTAAAGGATTTCAATTGCCATGTTGGAACAACCATGTGTTTCTGGTTGTCTGGGGTTTCACTATCACAGCTATAGAAGGCAGCTTGCCCCATAGAACTCCTGAAACAAACGCGAGAGGGATCACAGAGCACGGCATCAAGCACGTGTCAAGTTGTTAATCACACACACAATTGTCTCCTGCCATTCCGCAAAAACTTGAAAAGCGGGACTCCGTTCTCGTGTTGCGCATTGCAGGAGGTGGTCCTAACCAACAGAAAACATGGACGCTGTTCCTTTTGCGGGTACTTCAGCAACCTGCAAAGCGGTTGGTTGAGTGAATGTAAGTTTGGTTCAATTGACAAGGCAAGGGTCAAAGGACGCCAAAGAAAGATGAAGAGCGCATCGGGGCACCCTATTTCACCAAGAGTACCCTGATTTCGACAGCGCGTTTCAGGAACAGCGGTCCACTATGCCAACCCAATTTGCTGGGCAGGAAAGTCTCTAACCCCGGGCTCAAGCCCACACCCTCCAAGCAGCGCGGATTTGTATGGTGGGCTTCATGAAATTCAGCACCAGCACTTCCAGTAGGGAGGGGGTCGGATTGGTTTTGTTAGACGGCATGTTGCTATGGATGCAGTCAAGTGAATTTAAGTCACCGTGCACCTCCTGGCGCCATTTGGCGCCTATGGCTAGGCAGTCAAAACTCCAAAAGCCCCCTTTTGGTCCACACTGGGCCCACACATGCACACAGGTCGCAAACAATTTCAATTAGTTCGGCATTGGTGGCCAGTTTTTGTGATTCATTTTACCGCGGGACGCGGCAGGGAGCACGCCCCGGTAAAGCAAGCTCGCTTGGCTTTTTAAGGGGCTTACGCCCAACGCTGGGCCAGCAGGAAGCCCAGTGGTAGGCTCAGAAGCAGACAGGCGAGAAGGGTTGTGATTGTTGTTGTGGTTGTGATTGCGATTGCGATTGTGACTGTTGTTGTTGTTGTTGTTGCTGTTGTTGTTGTTGTTGGTGGTGGTGGGCTTCTTGGTACTGTGGTTGTGCGGTTGTGGTGGTGTTGCTGGGGCTGTGGCAGTGGCGGCGGCGTTGGCGGCGGCGGTGGTGGTTGCTATTATGGCGGTTGTTGGTTGGTGTTGTTGTCGGGGTGGTTGGTTGCTGTACTAGTAATCGTTTGGGTGGGTGTAGTGGTTGTGGTTGTGGTGGCGGTTGTGGCTGGGGACGGTGTTGTGTGCTCATGCAAGAAGCGGCTAGCAGCAGTTGCATGGGAGGCTGCCCTGACGGAGGCACGGACAACCGGAGACGGCGGTTGATGTGGCAGTTAATGCGATGCACCTTCGGTGGCAAAACTTGCACCTTGGGGCTAACCATCTGGAAGGAAGGGAGGGCGCCGCATTTCTATGCAAGAGCAGAAAGCACCGATGTTGGTGAGGTCCTCCGTTTGCTTCCGCCCGCGCCTCCAGACCTCCTCAGTGGCCCTGTGGGTCAGAGTGAGCTTTTGCTGGCCCAACGCTGTTCGCTAGCGCGCTTGCCGACCCGACAATTAGCTCAGAGAGGGGGTCGGCGGCCACGGAGGAATGGAGCGCTGGTTTTACAATCACAGTGTTTGGGAGCACGTAATGCAGCAAAACCTGGCCGTGGTTCTTGGCTTGCCGAGGTTAGATACTGTTGTTTCACGCTAGGATGTCGTATACATGTCTCACTTTACTACCG